ATGGTCCTCCCTCAGCAGGCCCTAAAGGACCCAAGGAGAGAAGAAACCTGCGCCGGCTGGGCTCACTCTTGTACTCAACAGATGATGACATCTCCCTTATCTTGCAATAAAATAAGTTACCAGCCAGGACTGCAGGGCCCTTTCATCCCGACATCAGGGATGGCAGGCCTTCCAGCTCGCCGAAGGTGCCAGCCAGGGAAGCAGCCAGCCTTTCGGCCCTGCTCTTCCATTTGTTCCAGCAAGAACCGAGAAGCCATCTGTCCCTGAATAGACCCTTCTGGGAAGGCCTCTAAGAACTGCAGCAGTTTATCAGTGAAACCGAATCCCCTTGTGCCCAGCTCAGACTGTGGGGCCTTATCTGGGTACTTACTGTTGGCACAAAGCAACAATCATGCGGGAACAGGGGGAGCCCAGGCTCCACTTCTCTGCCACCCTGCTCCTTCATAAAATTCCCCAGCCTCACTCGCACCCAAGGGTGCTTAACATCGAGTCAGACAGTTTTTGGTTCTGGGGAAATCACCCAGCCACCTACTAGGGGGTTATCTAGCCCAACTCCGTCTCAGGGGTCCAACTGGTCATCAGTGACCCTGACATACAGCCCAACAGTGTCAGAAAAAAAAGAATCTCACTCTGGGCTTCAATTCCAAGTCCCGATAGCCAACCCCAAAGCAAACTGGTGCTTCTGGGGATTGACTGGGCTCTTTACCAGAGGCAAGAAACCAGACGCAGCAGTCTGCAAAAATACTTTCACTACAAAATAATTTATTAAAACACACAGCTTCAGCACTAGCCTATGTACAAACACACACCCTCCTGACTACCCTACAGCTAGGGGGTCCTCTTCTTCCCCCGTGCCTTGCGGACCTCTTCTATTAAATCTTTCAGATACTGGATCTCCTTGGCCAAGGAATCTGCCTTCTCTTTCAGAGCCTCATTCTTCTTTTCTAGCTCTTTACATTCACCAGTGAGGGCCTCCTGCTCTGCCCTCTTCTTCTGGCGGTACCTAGTGGCTGCTGTCTTGTTCTGCTCCATTTTCTTCAGTTTCTTATCTAGTTTCTCGCCCTTTACTTTCGCTGCTATCATCTTCTCTCCAGGAGGGTCATAGGGCTTGGGGCGGGCAGAGCCACCAGGGACACCTGGAGATAGCAGGCTTCTATTTGGAGAACCCCTGGAGGTAGGGGGGCTATGCTGGGGAGAGCCCAGATAGGAGTCAGGGCTCATACAGATGCCACTATCATTATCTGAGGGGGCATCCTCTTCCTTTACGCATGGAGGGACCAGCATAAGGTAAGCAGTGGAGTCTGGCTTCCTATCTTCTTCAGACGTCACTTCACTGCATAGCTCTAAAGTAAAAGAATGATCTGGAGTGGAGAACAGGGCCCCTGGGGAGAGGGGAAGAGGCTGCAAGAAAGTGAAAGGGGCACCCTGGTCAGTTGTTGGCAAACTTTCTGGAAGATGGCCTATTGGGTTCACAAGCTGGGGGGGCTCCTTAGTAGCCTCCTGGAGTAGGGGGTCAAAGAGATCACACGTGTCATCCAACGAGGCCAAAAGCTCATCTGGCATGGTTTCCAGATCATCTATACCCAACAGAGCATTAAAATCAAACTCCTTCAGATCCATTTTCTCCACCATCCAATCTGTCCCAGAGAACGCATCCTCTGCAAAAAAAGAAAGTTGGAACCAATGAATCAAATGTACAGGACTATCACCAGATCCCACCAGCAGATAAAAGCAGCCCACTCACCCTTGCCGTTATCTGAGGCACTGACCAACCCATCCATAGCCAGCCATTCGGAGAAGCCCGCCTTAGCCTTGTCGCCAGAGAACCCATGAGGTTTGAAGTGCTTGGCCACCTCCAGGTAGTCATCTAGGAGACCCAGGCTCTCTTCAGCCCCCAAACCCGACTGGTCGAAGGGGGACATGAAGTCCACCACCAACACCTCGCTGCTCAGGAAGCTCTTCTCGGCCATGTCGCGAGGTTTTGGTGGAATCGAGGAATGTGCTTAACTCGAAGGTGTCTTTGTCGGTTACAGCAACGCTGCTGCTGAATGCCTTGAAAAGCCTGAAGACAAATCAGAAACCAAGTCCCATTAAAGTTCAGCTGGCCTGAGAATTTCATCTTTTCATCCATGAGGCAAGATGGCCAAAATAGAACTCCATTCGGTGTTGAGAATCGGTACCACGTGGCCCCAGGGCCATCGCGTCACCGCCGCGTCCCTCAGGCTGCACAAAATGGACGCCCGGCCGTTCCCCCACCGGCCAGAACAGGAAGCCGCCCCACCCGCACGTCCAAATCCGCCTCTGGACGCCCGGCCCCGCCCACGCCCCCCGTGACTCACGCGGCGGCCGCCGCCGCCCTACCACGCCGCCATCTTGGCTGCTGCCACGTTTCGCGGGGCACCAGGTGGAAGCCGGCGGATTCGGGGGGCCGGGGCTGCCGGGGGCTCCCGACCCAAGGGCGCCGGAGTTTTGGGGACACCCAAGCAGGGGCCACGCGTTATGGGCGCTCGTAAAACCACTCCCGCCTCCGCGAAGCCGCCCAGCCGCCGGCCGCTCCCAAGCAGGCAGAAACCCCTCACCGACCCAGGGGTGCACGGCCAGAGCAGCGCAGGCCCAGTACTTACGCCATGGCTTAAACCGCTGGGGGGTGCCGCTGCAGAGCCTGGTGCTGCTGCCGCCGCTGCAAAAGCCAATGCTGCCGCAGGCACTGCTGCCTCTAATACGCCATGGTGGCCGCGGACGCTACGGGAGCGGAGAAAAGAAGGCACGCACTCGCACGGAGAAATCACATATACAGACAGAAGGAGAAAAAATGGCGGCGAGACGCCGAGCTCGGGGCCTTTATAAACTCTGCTCCCTGTGAGGACGCATCACAGACCATATCCTTCCGCCGCGGTCACGTGACTCGCGCCTCCCACCCACGCATTGCCATCTATTCGACGGCCCTATCGTTTCCAATCTCCGACTTTTAAGTCTAGGGCGTAGCTGTGATGAGAGAATGAATTGTTTTTATTTACGGCCTCAAGAAAAAGACGCACTACTTTACAAGGATTTTAAGATGAAAGGGTCACTCCCGTCCGCCGCCGGGGAGCGCGGAAGGATTCTCCACACTCATTTCCGGCGTTAGTCCGAAGGGCGGAGAGAGAAGTCTTTCATCCCAAGAAAGGTTTTTACTGTGAAGTACGAGGTCTCCTAGTTCTCGCGCGATATGCTGGAGGAGAGCGCGCATCAAGATGATTGGTCAGACATGGTGAGTCATATATATCTCGAGTTTCTATTGGCTCAGGCCGCTGATCTGCGCGGGAAGGGGCGGAGCGGCCGACGATTCCCTCCGTCTGGTTCTGCGGTTTCTCCGGTTTTCTCTGTGACGGCGCTTTGCAGTGGCTTCCTCAGCCCTGCCCACCCGCAGCCGGTCAGGATTGCCCCGGGCAGCCCGGGCCCAGTGCGTCCCAAATAGTGGCGTTAGGCCCCGCCCCTTGCAGTCCTTTCCTGCCGTCCTCAGCGAAGCTCCAAAGTAGCGACCAGGTTCAGGCCCAAAGATGAAACTAGGCAAAAGGAAATGTCATTTCGTGTGCGTTTTCACACACAAACACTTGCAAAATACTGAGGACGTGCAAGCCCTTCAGTAGTTGAAAGGGGAGGCTGATGACCTCAGTCGAGATCACCCGATCTATGCGCACCTACCATCAAAGGCGAGTCGAGGAAATGCGTAATCCTATAGTCTATCGTATTTTTACATATCCGTTTAGCTAAAATATGTTTGCTATTTTATTGAAGAATGCAGCCTATCACAGGGGAACTTCTTTCAGTTCATGTAGTTTCAGTTCCTCTAAGAAGAAAGATTTTATTCAGCTGCTCTCTCTCACTCTAGGGTAGTTTCAGTTAGCTCCCAACGCTGTACAACTCCCAGGCATAACCGCTTCCCAGCAAGTCCTCCTAATGCCCAATTGCCGGAGTTTGTGTATTCGGAGGCCGCAGTCCAGGTCAGGCCAACAACTTGCTCTCTCTACTGGGGAACTGTTAAGAGCAACAAGAAAGCCTTCCCCCACCCTCCAGCCCTCTCGTCAGACACTGCGGGGGCGGAAACCTTGAGTTTCTGCTTCCATTCCTTTCAGTAAGCCCTACAAATATTATTTCTGAGGACTGATGTCAAAAATTTGGGAAGGACTGTCCTACATTACTGACCATTCATTGACTTGATTCAGTCTAGCCCAGCAATTTTACAATGGTAAACTGAGGACTAAAGGGATGAAGGGTCTTGCCCAGTGAAGGCAGTATGGGGTAGGAGTTAGAAGAGATTTTAGGGGTAAACCCCGCAAACTTGGCTCTTCCATTTATTAGCGGAGACATTTTGGTTGAGTGACTTATCCTCGCTGAGTCTCAGTTTCCTGAGCTGTAAAATGAAGCGAATGGTGAGTATCCTTGCACTTAGAATGAAGATAATATAAGAGGCACTGAGCTTAGCGCCTGGTATCTGATAAGTGCTGGATAAATGGTTGCTATTACTCCTATTATTAGAACTCAGGTCTCTGACACACCTCCCAAGGCCCCCTCCCCATCTTCACTACATCATCCTGCTTCCTCAGAGGACTATTATTAACTGAAATCAACAACTATAAACAACTGGTATATGCAAAGCATACTGGATGCTTGATGTGGTTTTTTCCTCCCCTTGGGGAATCACGAGTATCTAGATATATATAAAGGATCTAGTCTTTCAGTGCAAAGGCAGTGAGCTACTACTCAAATCTTAAAAAGGACCCTCGGGGCATGTCCTCCTTTCGCTGTCAGATGACCATGCAGATGGCTGAGAATTAAAAGTAATGCTGCCCCAGGTTGACACTGCAGAGGGGTGGGAGAATGACTCCAGTGGCACCTTGTCCCATCCTTTCTATTATGGTGACCCAGATCAGGCACTTCAAAGGTTCTCCTAGCTGCAAATGGAGAACCAGTCCCACTGCTGTAGGAAAATGTTTCATACCACACACACAAGTCAAAGCTGTTGGAAAGGAGACTTTAATTTTCTTCTTCCCATGCTGTGGAAGGACAGCATGTTCCCCAGCTTTATTCCCTCCCTCAAGGAGAAAAAGGACAGTAGTTTTCTGGGTCTCAGGGCTAAGCTGCTTCTATATGGACCTAGCCAAGACAGGACAGAAAGACTGGTGACTGATTCCAAATCTATCAGCTAAACACATCAACTGCTTATTGAAGGGCAAGCAAGTGACTGGAAGGCAGGTTGTGGACTTGGCCTCAGGGGCCAAGCACAGAGAACATAAGGTGATCAGAATGAAAAGGTAAACACCACGCTATATGCAGTTAACCCCAGAACTCACATCCCTGGTATTTTGGCCGCTTAGAATCAGCTAAGCATATCTACAAGGGCTACAGCCTCACAGCTCTAGTCCTAAGTCCTCTTTGGCCTTGAGCTTCAGCACGAAGAGCAGGGTTCTCACAAATCCTGTGAGAGCAGAGCCTCTGGACACATGCAGGGATCCCAGGCCCCCCGGCTCCTCTCCAGGACCTTTTGATCCTGAAGCTGATTCCTTGTCAAAACCATTTGAGCTCTCAACTTGAGTGGAGTAGAAAGGGGCAAAATCAGCTAATCTGGAGTGTGAACAGGACCACCAAGGGCTGAGCCTAGGAGGAAAGACTGTAGGCCTCACAACAGTTTTTCCAAACATGAGCTTCAATTATTTTTTTATTTGAAAAAAAAAGTCACAACCAAGCAAAGAAAAATACTGTTGTCCTGAACTCACGTTTTAGGAAGGGGCAACAGGGAAAAGCAAAATACACTTTGGAATTGATTGGGTTTTCAAGATGATGAGTCTTTCTTCAAGCATTAGGCTAACTATGTGCTTTGCTAACCTAGATGGTGCAAAAAAACTTCCAGATGGAGAAGTAGGAGCAGATGCTGTTACTTCAGGCAAACGTGGGAGTTACTGAGTAGAAAGGCAGAAAAGCAGGAAAAGGCCCTACATATTTCCCCAAAGATTAAAAAAAAAAAAATGTGTGTGTGTTGGGGTGGGGGGTATTCCCCTCCTCTAACCAAGAATCTCAAAGCACTGGACTGTCGTCCAGGTATTACGATGAGACTTGCCCCATCTCAGTCAGCAAACCCACCAGGACATGAGCCAAGGATTCCCACCGCTTCTAGTTCTGAGGACTTCTAAGAGGTTCTTGCTTGTGAAATGGCAGTTATGGTTTTTGGTTTTGTGAAACATAGGTAAGAGACAGAGCTGCCCTTAGAAAGATGCTCTTTAAGAGGAGGTAAACTCAAATCACCATTACACTTGGCTTTGATAATTTGGGATTTGATCTTTAAAATCTTTTCTTTTTTGAGCTCTCCTTCCAATGTTTTATATGGAATTTGGTCAGACTCCAGCTTGGGAAAATTATAGGTTTTATAATATTCACATTGGGAAAACCAAATCCTTTATGTGAATGAAGACAAACCCATGCTTTTCCAACACATTCAGCCCTCCCCTCTCCCTTCCTTCCAGTGACACCAAATGGGCGCAATGGAACCGTCAGTGCCAGGCTCCACCCTCTGTGGACATCCTCTACACCAATCCCCCAGGGTAGCACTCAGGCATATGGAGTGTTTCATAAACTCCAAGTTGATTGTGATGAACAGCCAGGATGGAGACTCTCTCAGGGCTCTGGGCTTGCTATTTTTCATTCTCTCTCAATGTCTTCATACAAATGAAACAACTGAACCATTTTAGGGAAGCTTCGCATGTATATGAGAGAAGAGGCAGGAAGAGTCTCCAAATATAGCCAAGGTTAACCCTAGTTCTCAACCTCCTAATCCAGGACAAAAAAGGGGACAAGAAGCTCTACCTTAAATTCAAAGGGAAGCTAAGGTTTCAATGCTATTTAAAGAGTCATTTCATGTCGCGGTCATTGGGAAGGAATGAGACAGCTGCAGAGAGCTTCACCAGAATCTCACTGATGGAGAGGTAGTAAGAATAAAAATAATAATAGGATTTGATGGGAGGAGAACAAAATACTGGATGGGCAGATCAGAAACAGAATTATCATCAGCCTCTTGGCACAAACAGGAAAAAATAAACACAGAACAAGAAGATGCACTGACATTGTATATTAAACTTTCCTCCCCACTCTCAGGATACTTTTTACATTGCAATAAATAGTGCAACTCTAGCAGCGGGAAACAAGAAGGAACGTGGCAAGTACCCACCTCCCTCTCAGATGTGTTTTAGCCATACGCTCTCTTCCTAGGTAGCACCGGTTTCCCAGGTGCTGGGTGAGAGACAGGACAGGGGGAAGAGGTCTGTGCATATGTGCCTGCCCTCTGGCCTCTGGAGGTGCCTGGAGAGCTCAGCAAACACCCCCATCACGTTCCTGTGACAGACACTGGGGAGCGGAGGGCTGGCTGCTGGGCCTGTTCTTCCTCTAAGGCAACATCCTAGAAAGGCAGGGCCTGACGTGGGAGAAACATGGTCACTGACGTTCAGCCACCTGTCTAGCTGAACCTCTAGCACTAAGACTGTGTCCTCGAAGGCCTTGTCCTAATTGGCAAGAAGGTGGGGAAGGAGCAAACAACAGCCCCTTCCCTCCCAGTCTTTGTCTGACTCCCGCACGCAGTGGTGCCGGGCTGGACCAGCCACAGATGAGGCACAGACATTAGGCACGCAGACCCTCTCCACCACCTCCAGGTTCCCCCACTCTACTCTCTCACTGATGGCCACTAAGAAACACAGTCTCCGAATAACTACGCATCCAGTTTATCTTTAGCCCTCGCTCCCGTGTGCGGCAACAACAGTGCTCCCATGAGAGACCTTCTTAGCACTTCCGGATATGAGCTGGTCAAGAGGTTGGTGGGGGGGGGGATGGGCTTCTTTTCCAGGAACCTGGGTCAAAGGCCAGCTTTTCCACCAGCTTTACCCCTAGAAACCCTAAATACTGTCTGGGCGCTCTCTGCAGAGTTCAGTTTGAAACATGCAATCATAACTTCAGTGACAGTCAACTACAAGGCAGCATCTTGATTAGGCAGATGTCCAGAAAAAAAAGCAAAACAGGTGTGAACAGGTGGAAAAAGAAGACACTGAAAAGGGGCAGGTGGCAGGGCAGACACAGCAGACCTGTGCCGAAATGCAAAACACCAAGTGGTCTCCACAGCTCAGGCCACTGCTCCACCTTCTCAATTCATTCCAAGAAAAACTAGCCTGGAGCAAGGGGGAGGGGAAAAGTAGGGAGCACAGTGTTTGGTAACAAAAATAGAAATGGTTGGTGATTAAAGAGGAGAGAGGGATACCTTTCTAATCAGCATGAAATGCCCAGGGCGATGACCAGCAAAGACGCGAGGCACCTAGGGACCCCGTGAGGCATCAACTATGGAACCAAGTGTTTCTAACAGAGAATCCAGGGCCTGACCGCTCGACACCTGCCTTCACCTGCCCTACGTCTGCAGCAGCACCTCTGGCTCAGACAGTGAGCAATAGAGAGTGTATCCCAATTCGTCTATTTCCTCAGGGGTAAGCTCTGCAAATAAGTTCACCTTGGGGTTTAGGGCACTGGGCAGAACTCCGGCCTCCAAGTAGCTGATGAGTCCCCGCAAGGCCTGCAGGAATCGGTCAGCCAGCACGTCGGGAGACCAGTCAGCCTCCTCCTGGGCCGCGTGGAGGATGACGTTGGTGAGCTGGCTGGCAGTGAGGTGACCCAGGGCCGGGGTGGACTTGCACACGGCCTTGAGGATCTTGAGGCACAGAGAGCGGCAGCCAGAGTCGGCCTGGTCCAGAGCCCGCAAGCGCGCCGTCTCGGCAGGACGCAGGCTCAGCCGCCACAGGTTGTCATACTGGGCTAGCCGGTGTGGTTTGGCCACCAAGACAGTGTCACCAAGGGTCACCGACGGCAGGAAGTCAATGACGAGATGCCTGTCGCGCTCATACTGCACTTCCAGAGTCAGAGCCTCCGGGGGTGGGGCCGGTCGAATCACATAGTCCAAGAGGGACCCGATGGCCGGCCAGTTGATGGAGCCAGCCACCACCTTTTCGAACGTGTCTGCCACTGTCTTTGGAGAGAGGTAGCCCCCTACTACACAGCGGTCCCAGTAACTACTACCACGAGGAAAGTACTCTGGGTTCTCCCGGCGAACCAGGAAGAAGCCGGGGATGTTCATGATGGTGTCCTCTCCGGGGATACACGACCACAGGTTCTGCTCCAGCACAAGGGGCACGATGAGTTGGATGTGGTCGGCTGTCACCACCTGGTGGAGAAGAATTAAAAAGGTTTTGAGGGATTTAATCTTGAGCTCAAGAGCCAAGTTTCCCCAAACACAGGTCCCACCATCTTATATCCCCCCCCAACGAAAAGGGGAACTAAGAATTCTTCCACGTGACCATATCAATTCAGAGTGTGGATTTCAACCCAGGTCAGTCGGACACTGGCGCCCGTGCTCATTCCACACACCACGTTGCCTCTGGACACAGAAGTACACATGACATCCCCCAGGCCTTGATGGCTCAAAGGAAAGCCAGAAAGGAAAGATAGGGACAAGAATATAGGAAGGAGGAGGCCTCTGACAGCTTCCTAGAAGTTGTGAGTATGACTAAAAAACAAAAAACGTTAAAGGCAGGGATCTCCAAATGCTACCGCAGTATGTGGAATTCAGACGCAGTAGGACTAACCTTTCTGGCAAGCCTGTACCAACAGCCCTACTGAGAAGCATCCTGGTCAGTACAACCCTGCCCTTCGTAAGAACCCCCTGCTTACCTGCAGGTCATCATAGAGGCTGCCACTCAGGTACATGTCCCGAAGTGGCATGTCAGGCAACTTGGCCCGCAGGAAGCTCCGGAGCTCGGCACATATGTCCACGGCAGCTTGCTTGGCCCGAGCCTGCTCGCCAGCAGGGATGGCCGCCCGGTTCCGGTAGTAAGTAAGAAGTTTCTCCTGCAGGGACATGCGGAGTCGTGACTTCTTCAAGTCTACCTGGCCCTTCCTGGCCAATGGCTTGGGCCGGGGCGGGCAGAATGTATCTGCCAAGGCAAGAGAGAGAGGCACGTGAGCTCTTCCCGTGCTTGCTCATCCACGGCTGCCTCAGCCCCAAAGGAGACGGGCTTGGCACAAAAGGCTAGCATGGTGCCTGGCACGTATGTCCCTAAGAAATGTGTTGAATGCATGAGTAGCACTGAGAGCCCCGAGGTCAGTCCCAGAAGGGGTACCAGCCTTCCTCACCTGTGTCAAAGGCCGAGGAGCCTGTGGGAAGGGCCTGTAGGGACCTGCTCAGGCCTGTCTTCATGTCCTTGTTGAGCAATCGGGGGGAGCCCATCCAGTTTGGTTCTTCCCAGCTCCTTTTCCCTGAATGGCTCAGGCGGGTGGGGCTGGTAGGGGCACTGATTGCCCTATCATACATCTGAAACAGCAGAGAGGACCCAGCACATGACCTTCTTTCCTGTTTCCCTCCTTCCCAGCAGCTTTGCCTTAATGAGTTCAGCTACTATTTTTCAATAACTTTGTTTTATTCTAGATTATGGAATACTTTGCTCCACACAGAAAATCTCAGGAAATACTAAATGATATAAATAAGAAACAGATTTATCCATAATGTCATAACCCAGAGATAATGGTTAATATTTTGGTATATTTCTTTCTGAAAATATATATTTGTGTAATTAGGATCCTCCTCTATATATACTTTTGAAAACTGATTTTTTTTACGTATCATTTTTATCACTCCCCCATATCACTAAAAATGCATCAGTGTTGAACATTATGGTACAATTTCTAACTATACCACACTGTACTTCATGAATGTACTGTAATGTCAAACACTGATCCATTTAACAATACATCACTGAATGGCTGCTCTGTGCCAGGAGCTGTTCTAGGTGCACAGAATAAAGCAGTAATCCGGAGACCCAATCCCTGCCCTCGTGGAGGGTGCAGTTTAGCAGAGGGATACAGGCAATACATAATCCAAGCTAAACCATGCAGATATAGGTGTTAAGGAAAGTAAAGTAGGAAGGAGAAATAGGAAAAATGTGTGGTGGGAGTCCTGCTATTTTAAACAAGGTAGTCAAGGAAGGCTATTTTGATTATTTGCAATTTTTCACTCGCTGGGATAAACTTTTTATTTGTATCTCCAACAGTTTCTTTAGGGCGGAGTCCTAAGAAGCAGATTTACTGAATCCTCTTAAGGTCTCGTCTAATAATGCCAAATTACCAAGTTACATTTCCATTAGCAGTAGCAAAGTCTTATTCTAAGTCAGCTCCACTCGGCAGCCTCACCACCTCTCCAACCCCTGGCTGAGTGTACTCACCCGCTTAACCGCCAGTGTAGCAATGCCCAGCATGGCTGCTCCACCCACCCCCAGCACCAGCCGGGCATTGGAGAGCACAAAATCAATGGCCGTCCCGATGCCATTATCATCCTTCTTGCTTTTGCGCTCACCAGCGCCTGCCATTGCTCGCCTGAGAAGGAAGGCAGAACACAGCCATCACCACCTTGGACCTTGGGAGGCAGCCCTCCTCCTCCCTCCCCCATCAGGCCAGTCCCCAACAATTTCAGGGTACTCTGTGAGTTCCAGGAACCCAAATCCTCTGGCCTCTAGCACTCCATGTTCTAGGGTCAGGAGGGAGGTATCGTGTCCCTTGATGTATCTGGATGCGAGGCAGAGGAAATGATCATGCTAGTCATGGGAAAGCCTCCCCACCAATCTAGTGAGATTACAGAGAGCGATAATAAGCTCACCGTCAACCCTTTCTCGTATGAGAGTGAAGTACCCCGCCCCCACGCAATACCACCCTCCGGACCCCTTCCCAACATTACAATGCAGATCATATTTTGATCCTCTGACCACTGCTTATCGAAGGTTAGACCTGAGAAGGTGTAAATTAATTAGAGACCCATCTAATCCCATCACATCACTTCACATGTAGGGAGGTGACTTGCCAGAGGTCCCAGAGAAAAGGAATGACAAAGCCATATGCAAAACTCAGGCCGCCTCTCAACTCCTAGCATGACGGTTTTTCTACTGTATCATGTTTCCCCTTACCCAAGCCAAACTGTTCCTATTCTATGTATTTCCTGCGAAAAATAATAATAACAACAACAACACAGACTAAATACCCTGGCACACGGAGACAAAACTACAAGTCCACATGTGAGAAAGATCCAGAGAAGAAGAGAACTCTGTGGACAGGCCCACTTGACAAATGCTTTGTTTCTTGGGGCAAGTGTGCAGGGGCACCACAAGAAGCTCAGGTGAGCCTGGCACTGTGACAGAGACTGAGAATAAACAAAACGGTCACTGCAGACTCAGCTGTTAACTGGAAAACAAAATATCCACCTGCTCAAGTGTGCTTGGAAAATGAACTAAAAATGTGGTCACCTAAGCGGAGATCAGGGCACAAGGCAGAAGAGGCTGGCCTCCGTACAGTGCTGGAGCGAGGCGAGCACGCCTTTGCTCCCTGGCAACGACGGGGTCATCCTGACTGAAGTTCCCCTGGTCTCCCAGTAAGCGCACTTCCCATGCAGTTAGAACCCTGGGCCTGACCCAGATAAAGGATGGCAAAGTGGCTCAAATCTGAGCACTGCTTTTAACACTGCTACCCCTCCTACCTCCCGTGTCCTGTACGCCAGGAACCACGTAGGGAAAAACAGTTGTTTACCATTCACCAATATACCTAGAACGGGAGGACAGAGAGGGACAAGATCACTGGTGCATCTTCCAGTGCGAAGTAGCATTCTTTCTAATACCCTTAAAACTGGGTATTGCTAGTGTCGCATGTCATGCCCCTGGCCTCCCCTGTCAACAAGAGAGAAATAATTCTGCCTCTACTTATTCCAGCAATTGAGTTAACTAAGAGTCGCTGTCGATCCCAAAATTATTTTTTCCCAACTAGAGTTCACAACCATGGCACTTTTCTCTTCTCCACCTTTTACCTTCGACAGGAGCTTCAGGTTTAGGGACGTAATGAGAAACTGCTTGGCTCAATGAAATATACTCCCACTTCAGATGCACAGAGCAAACAAGGCTGACGAGAAGAGTTAAACTCTGCATTTACAGGTGGGGTCAGGCAAGAACTCTAGTCATCCTCCCTCCAGTGGCCACTGAGACAGAGATGGGACATAAACTCATCTGAGGCAGAGTAATCCAATCAGGACAAAGGTGATCATTACACAGTTCCCAATACAAAACCATGGCTACCGTTTTATTGCTTTTAAAACAAAAGAACCTTTAGAGATGTATTTACAATAGGGAGGACCACCCTCTAAATCAGGGGACCCCAACCCCCCGGCCGGTAGTGGTCCACAGCCTTAGGAACCAGGCCACACAGCAGAAGGTGGGTGGTGGGTGAGGAAAAGCTTCATCTGCCGCTCCCCGTCACTCCCATCACCGCCTGAGCCATCATCATCCCCCGCCCCCGCCCGGGCCCAGGGAAAAATTGTCTTCCAACCGGTCCCTGGTGCCAAAAAGGTTGGGGACCCTGCTCTAAATGATCCTTGCATGTGATGCAGCAGAGCAAGAAGGGCACATTCTCCCTCCACGCAGAAGCCGGAAGGAGCCTCTCTGGCTCCTTGGCCCCTCGGCCCCTCTGAGCCTGGGTTTTAGAGTCGGAAATCTTGAGACTGAGTACTTGCCTTTGAGCCCTGACTAATTAGCTGGGTGCCCTCAAATGAGTTAACCCCTCAGCTATGTAATGGGGAGAATGATGCCTGCATGGCCTAAATCATAGGGTTGTAGTGAGGAAGACATATCTACTAAAATACCGTATGTGAACACTTTATACACCGTAAAAGGACTCTACAAATGTGGGCCATCATTAAGTCTTTTAAGATCTCCATCCACAGGACAAAAGGTCAGCTTCCAGAAGGCAGTCAGCAATCCAGACTGTCCTGTGAGTTACATCTTACCTTCTGAGACTGAGCCAGGAATGGCCTATGAAACCCAAGCTGATGCTATCCTGGGCTTGAGACCAAAACTATGAAGTTGAGCAAGCTTGGGAAAAGGCTTTTCTACTCTAGTGCAATATACTCCCCGCCCCACCCAAGGACCAGGTGATGTCAAAGATCTGGTGACCTGGAAGAGGAAAGAACACCCACAGCTCCCACAGGGAGATCAAAGTTTCTATTCTAAAACTGAACTCAATCTGTTCCAGTTGAAACTACTTAACCACAGTCTACCCTCCACTCAGGCTCTGCCGCACTACCTGGGAGCCTGCAGGAGGTGGGAGCTCTGCCTGGCAAGGAGAAGGGCCTGGAGGAGCCCTGTTGTTTAATGCGTTTAGTTCCAGTTTTACAAGATGAAAAAGCTCTAGAGATCTCTTGTGCAACAATATGAATATCCTTTTTTTGTTGTTTTTAATTTATTTATTTTTGGCTGCGTTGGGTCTTCGTTGCTGCGCGCGAGCTTTCTCTAGTTGTGGCGAGCGGGGGCTACTCTGTTTTGCGGTGCGCAGGCTTCTCATTGCTGTGGCTTCCCTTGTTGCGGAGCATGGGCTCCAGGCGCGCAGGCTTCAGCAATTGTGGCACGTGGTCTCAATAGTTGTGGCTCGCGGGCTTTAGAGCACAGGCTCAGTAGCTGTGGCGCACGGGCTTAGTTGCTCTGCGGCATGTGGGATCTTCCCGGACCAGGGCTCGAACCCGTGTTCCCTGCATTGGCAGGTGGATTCTTAACCACTGCGCCACCAGGGAAGTCCCCACAATATGAATATTCTTAACACCACTGAACTGTACACTTACAAACAGTTAAAATATTGAAAAAAAAAAAAAAGAGGAGGCAGAACACTGACCTGGTGGGCAGGGCTGAGGATGGGGAATGTGAACTCTAGGAACATCTAAGACAAGTTGTTTAACCTGTCTCCTTAGATACAAAAGTGGGAATAGAAATACTCATCACCCCATTACAGTGGGAATGATGAGTAATGGAGGCCCTGTATCTTCCTAGGATGACAGCACAGAACTGTGAAAATTCCAACTTATTCTCCTTGAAAAGGGCATATGACTTAAACGTCTGGCTTGAGTACACTTGAGAAGAGCTAACATATACTGAGCGTGTACCGTGTGCTGGGCATTTTACACCTATTAGTTCCCTTAGTTCCAACAATCCCATGAGATCAGTCACATTGTTACCTCCAACTTACAGATGAAGAAACTGAGGCAGAGGTAAAGTGGTGGCCCCAGGTCACCGTGTCAGAAAGTTGTGCAGCCATGAGTTGAACCTGGAGTTCACGGGGCTGGGGAGTAGCTTACAAGTAGCCTGCAGCCCCTCCTCGTACACGTCTCCTCTCTGCTAACCACTCGGACTCGGCCGTACGCTTCCCAGGGGCATTTTGGCTCATTCCCTGCTGTGTCCTCAGGGCCAGCAGTATTTGACACATAGCAAATATCTGTTGCATGAATGAGCTACTGATTCTATGGCTTTTTTTTTTCTGGGCGGGGGGGAGGGGGGGCGGGCAGAGGAGGTGGTAGCAGCACCTGTAACCCAACTCAGTCAAGATACTAGGAACACAAAGCCTTCAGTGTTCACTTCCACTCTCCCTGGGCAGGCAGGCCCTTGTGGGCATCATCTCTCACCTGGCCCTTTACTCCCCAAAGCCAGTCTGCCCAGCAACCTGAGTGGCCGAGGAGGACCCAAAGCCATTACGCCAGGCTCCTCCTCCTGCTTTCCCTCTGTTAAAGACAGTGCCACCCACCCAGCTGGCACGGCTAACACCTCCCGGTCATCGCTCGCTCCCCTCTCCTCCTGCTGCAGCCAGCGTCCGCCTGGTGAAGTCCGCTGCTGCGCACAGTGTGCTCACGGGCCACCCGGCCGCCACAGTCCCTCCAGCTCACCTGGTCGGAGCCGCGGCCTCTGGTATCCCCTACCAATGTATTCTCCATGCCGCCACTGACACGATCCCTCATCCACGCCATTCCCCTGCTGACAAAGCTCTGATGGTCTCCCTCTGTCAGGTGTCACAACCTCCTCAACAGGGGATTCGATGTCCTTCCAGACCTGGTCCAGCCTCAACTCTGGTCACCTGCCTTACAGGTGCACCACTTGAGCCACTCTGGACTCGGGTTTCCAGACTATAAAATGTGGTAGTCTCTGTTTCAAACTCCACACTTGCTTATTGCCCGTCTGCCCGGCAAGCTTCTATTTCTCACTTGAGGCAGACCTCAAATGTCCTCTTTTCTATAGCCACCTGTGATTCCTCCACTGCCACCCCGCCCCCAAGGCACAGTTTTGGCATCATCCCTGTCTCCAAGCTCTTTACCTGACCTCTAGCACAGAGCTGTTCACCCTGGAATTACCTCCCGTCGATCTCCACATGCGACCCGTCCCTTGATGGGCCACGTCATTCACCTCAACCTCAGAGCCTACCAGAATGCCAGGGCCAGAGAAGGCCCTCTGGGAAGTTGCTGAATTAAATACAATCATTTGGTTACAGTGGGACTATCACACTGGCATGGGAACTAAATAGAACTAACATACCACTGGCCAAGAACCATTCCAAGTACTTTGTGTGCATTATCTCTTTTTTTCTCTTTTGGCCGCGCCGTGCGGCCCTCAGGATCTTAGTACCCAGACCAGGGACTGAACCTGGGCCCTCAGCAGTGAAAGCGCAGAGTCCTAACCACTGGACCGCCTGGGAATTCCCGAGTTGTCTCATTTAATTCTTGCAATAAGCTGAAGAGGTAGGTACTGTTATTTTACAAATGAGGGAATGGAGGCCTAGACGGATTTAGGGATTTACTGTAAATCCCACAGCTGTCAGTAGCGGTGTCAGGAGGTGCCGTCCCCCGAGGTCCGTGCACTGTGCTTGCCTTAGAGACTGTTGCAACAGAGTCCAGTTATGTTTGGGGAAACATGATCTCGCCCTCGATAGAAGTGACTCTACCAAAGAATGAGGCAGCCAGGAACTGAGCTCTAATAGTTTTAACCAATGTGTTTTCTAGCATTTTCATATGTAAAATGTTTTATGAAACAAAATGGTCTCCTGGTGGGGCCTGAAACTCAGGGCCTTTTTTTTCTTAACAAGGGAACATACTGCTGTTAATATGTTTGTATTTCCTCCATTGATTTATGACTAAAGGACTCTGGTCACTAAAGGAAAGGTTCTCCCTCTCCTGGACCCCTGCAACAGAAAAAATGAAACCTACAGGAACAAGGGCCTACCTACCTGAGGCTTCTTACCGCATCTGTGAGGTGGCGGTGGGAGAGAGGCAGGCGTGTCTATGGAAGGCACTTTTGTCCTCTTTCCCTTGGAATTAGGATGGGAGGGGAAAGGAAAGGATTCTAAATAATCCCTCCCAGTTTGCTGTGGAGGAATACCAGGCCCTTTTCCAGCTGCCTCTCCCGGGCCTCAGGATCCTCTAGCTTCTGATTTTTCCGGAACTCACGGCGGATGGAGGCAAAGTAGAAGTCTCGATCAGTGTAGCGAAGCTCTCGGCCTTGGCGCAGCAGAGCCCGGTAGAGACTCAGCACCGCCTCTCGGCTCCATGGGGCCATGGGGGACTGACAGGGGCTGGGCGTCAGGCTATATGCAGAAGGGAAGAAAGAGAAGCCTAGAATCAGAATTAATGATGGAAGGGCCTGTGGAGATTATCTAATTCAGCAGTTCTTAATCTAGGTCTTAGAGACCCCCCCAGGTCACAATATGACTTAGTGGCGGGGCTGGGACTGTATCCCAGCCTACCGACTCCTGCTTGTGGGAAACCACCAGTTACGCTGAAAGGCCAGGGCTTGGAAGCTGGGCTGTGTGCTTGAATCTTGGCTCTGCCACTTATCTGCCACATAGCTTGGGGCAAAGTACATAACCTCTCTGAGCATCAGCTTCCTCACTCTTAAAATACAGATAATGCTATCTACGTTTACATACTGCTATGTGTCAATACGACATATGCTAACAGTACTTACCACATCGGGTTATTTTGAGAATTGCCTGAGATATCACTTGTAAAGCACCTGTAACTGAAGTTCACCACAAGGGGTGGTCAGGAGCCGTTGGAGACGAGGGGTCTCGGTCATACTTGAATCCTGGCACCACCGCTTATGAGCTCATTCATTACCTTGGGCAAGTTTCTTAACCTCTCTGGGCTTACCTTAGTTCCTCATCTGTAAAACGAGGATTAAAATTGTATTTTCCATATGGTTTATATGAGGATTAAATGCGTTAATGTATGTAAACGTGGTTAGAATAGCACTCGGCATATACTAAGCAGTCTATCAGGGACAGGTGTCAATATTATTAATGCTACCTACCCTCGTTTGTAAGTGCTCGGTAAGTATTAGATACACATAAACTGTCACCATCTTCCTTCTGTAACAATGAAGCCTTACACAATCACAGAGAGTTACCCTCTGTAAAGTGCTTTGTCATCCATTATCACATTTAAACTGAGGCATTTATGAAGTAGTCAAGGTTCGTAACAAGAAGTGTTAACGCTTAGGGAGTGTTTACTATGTAGCACGCATGGGCCAAGCAGATCCCACGTGACAACTCTTCTCATTCCATCAACAATCCCAGTGTCGTCAGTATCCCCATTTTAAGTGCAGGAAACTGACGCTCCCAGAGAGAAGTAACTTGCCCACAGGGGCACCCAGCTATAAAGGGGCGGGGGGGCACTCCCGACCCCAACTCTGACTGCCTGTGTAATGATAACTCCTATTTGCTGGGATCTTACCATGTGTACAGCACTTCCAGGTGCTTTACAAACTTTCCCAGCACACCGCCTGGCACATACCAAGGGCTCAAAAAAGAAGCTGAACGAAAGAGGGAACCCTCACAACGTCCCTGTGTGGAAAAAGGCATCGTCCCTCTTTATGAAATAAAGAACTGAGACTGAGTGGAAGAGGTGTCTGACTGGTAAAAAGGTCTGGACTTTGGGCCCAAAGTCGGCTAGCCATCAGCCTCCGGCCTTCATAACTTGCTGCGCGAGCTCGAGGAAGCCACTGTCCGCGTCCCTTTTTCCTCAGCTGTAGAAGAGCGCCCCTCGGCCCCAAGGGCCTCCCGGAGTGGGGGATGAATCCAGAAATCAACAGGATAAATGCTTTATGAAGTAGGAGGCGACTGTCACGCGAGGGCTGTTACTACAAGGTCGATCGGCGAGTGCACCGCTGGGCCCCGTCAGGTCCCCAGGTCCTCCCCCTACCCTGCGGGGCGTCGCACCTAGCCGGGGTGGAGAGACCCCGAGGCTGGGGCAGGCCGGCTCAGGGGGCCCGGGAGGGCTCCGGAGGCTGAG